GTACCGGGATTATAGATCTGTACTACTACAGAGGGCTCACAAGCCACTCCTGATGGGGCTTCTTTTTTTTTTTTGGTGAGATTCAAGTTTGAACTCAGGGCTTCATTCTTGCAAAGCAGGTGCTCTACTGCTTGAGCCACACTTTCATTCCACTTTGTTCTGGTTATTTTGGAGATGGGGTCTCAAGAACTATGAGCTTGGGTGGCCTTGAACTGTGATCCTCTTGATCTCAACCTCCCAAGTATAAGCATGAGCTACTGGGTGCCCAGCTTAATGGGCTTCTCAGGCTTGTGACTTCTCAGAAACAAGATGTCTCACCCTGTCCCGATAGCCTGCCAAGGGGCAGACACATCATTCCAAGACCCTGTACACACCCCAGGCAGACAGGGGCTGGCATGAATGGTGCTACCTGCACTTTCTAGGCCCCTACAGATGAGGTCTTAGATCAGCTCTGCTCCCTTGGGCAGAGTATCACCTCCTGATATTCTGGCATCCTGCTCCTTTCCTCTCTGATTTCCCTCTGGGAATTCACAGGACAGAACTTTATGAGCCCACAGCAGCCTTCCCACAGAGACTGCACATGGCAGTGGTGGAGGACCTATCTGTTGAATCGTCTTCCAGGGCATGAGTCCTGGTGCCCTGGTGCCTGTATAGCTCTCCTCTATTCAGAATGATGGGGAAGAAGGGGGGCTGTGGCAGGGATTCACAGAAGTGAGAGGTGGAGCTTAAAGTCTTCCAAGCAGACTCATAAATGTCATAGGACTCCAGACAGCATGAGATGTTGTGGGTATATGGCTCCTATTTTTCTTTACAAGTTTTCTTTATGCATCCATTTATCTATTTTTCTGTGTATCTCATGGTGGGACCCTTGCTCCCCAATTCTGAGACTGTCCTTGGCAACAGGGTGGCCATGTGATGAAGGCCTGGCCAGTAAGAGCCTTCCTTACAGTGCTCAGTGGCACTTCTGACCGAGAAAGTTGCTCTTCTCTGGTGTGCCCAAGCCCCTTAAACCTGGGGATGCTGGATCTTTACCACCACACGGGGAGGAGGGGCTGCCTGAGGAAGAGAGGAGTGTTGAGGAAAGGGTGTCAGAGATGGACTGGGATCCAGATTTCTTATCAACATGGTTCTATGCAGTCGCTCTCATTTGTGTTGGTTTGCCTTGGGTTTCTGTCACTAGCAGCTAAAGGAGTCTTGACATACACAGAGACAGCTTTTTCCGTGAACTCCCAGGCCACTCACTAAGGCTGTGAGTCACAGTCACACCTGGTGGTGCCTTTCTGTGGGCTTCTCTATTCAGGCACATGGGGCTCGGCTCCCTTCCCTCTCCCTGAAGCAAGTAAACAGGTGCAATGGACTGAATATTTGTGTCTTCCAAAATTCATATGTTGAAACCCTAACTCCCAAGGTGATGGTATTAGCAGGTGGGGACTTTGGAGTGATTAGGTCATAAGAGTGAAGCCCCATGAGTGGGATAATCACATTTATCAAAGGGACCTCCCAAAAGTTCTCTCTTTCTACCATGTGAGAATACAATGAGATGTCAGTCTGCAATCTAGAGGAGGCCTCTTATCCAAAATCAACCATGCTGGGACCTTGACCTTGGATTTCCAGCCTCCAGAGCTGTGGGAAATAAAGGTCTGTTGTTTATACCACTCAGTCTGTGGTACTTTGATATAGCAGCTCAAGCTGACCAAGGCAGCCGCCATTGGCTTATGGTAGGTAAGTTGGCATCCATGCACCACGGACATCTAAAGCCCTCCCTAGGAGGGAACGAAGGTTCTCGTAACTCCAGACACTGCTGACTCATTTTCTCATTTACTCCCCAGAGATACCAGCAGCATTTTTTTTTTTTTTGGCAGAGGAATGGTTTTTAAAATTCACCCACAGAAATGACTGCCTTTGGCGAGCACCTGAGTCTTGCAGGAACATGGGTTGAGAGGATCAGGTCCTGCAACGAGCTAAGAAATGACTGCTTCCAGGCTGCCGCAAGCCAATTTCATCTTGCATGGCTGCATGTTTTGTGTTTGTTTGCTTGGACTTTCGTTGTTCTGAGTTTTTAAAAAATAATCCAGTTCTTTTTGAGGCTGGTTTGCAGAATTGCGCTGCGCTTGGTGCAGAATGTGCTCCTTTGCCAGCGTTGGGCTTCGGGGGTAATCCTTTCGCCTGAATAACTGGTGGCTGCTGTGGCCAAGCCCGGGCGGAGCTGACCCCAGTGATGACTGGACGCCAGCCAGGACTTGCCCTTTCACACACACACAGCTCTCCCGAAGCCCCTCCATAACAGGCAACAGAAAACAAAGACCAGGAGTCAAAGTTAACTTGCTTGATTTAAAAAAATTTGTTCTTGCAAAAAAAAAATATAAGCATTTGCATTTGGGAAGTTTCATACTCTGAGAATGAGCCATAGTGACAGGTCTTATGAGCAAAAGGCTCAAGACATCCTAACCGGATGACATGGCCAAGATAATCTGTCCTGGTTCCCAGAGCCACCATGCAGCCTCTGCTCCAGAACCTGGAACTTGGGACTCTTCTAATATCCTCACTCCTCAAGGTCCTCCAGCATGTCTTTTTCCATTCCATCTCTCTTTTCTCTGCCTTGCATTGTCACTTACTGTCACACTTTCATCTCTGCATCACCACATATCAAGCTTCCAATAGAACAGCCTCCTCCCCTTGGAAAATTTGTACCCCTCACCTCCTTCAAATCCACCCCCAAATTCCTCCCTTCCAATTAGTACTTGTGACCTCCCTGCTCCAGCCCATCTCCAGAGAGCATTATCAGGCTGGAAGGACAGTCTGGGGGTTAGAGGACCTGGGCGCTAGGCCTGTAGGCCGCCTGTTGCCTGTTTCCATCTAAGGAGCAGGCTCAGCATCCCTTGTCCAAAAATTTGAGTTTCCAAAATGCTCCAAAGTCCAAAACCTTCTGAGTGATGATATGGCACCATGACTGGGAAATTCCACACCACGAAACCTTGTTTTAGGCAATTTATTAATACATGCAATTTATTAATTTTTCAATTCATTAAAATATTGTATAAATAAAATCATTTTCAAGCTGTGTGTATAAGAGATATATGTATATATATAAAATATAAATGAATTTCATGTTTGCGCATGGGTTCCATCCCCAAGGCATCTTATTATGTCTAGGCAAATATTCCAGAATCTAAAAAGATCCAAAATCTAAAACACCCTGGTCCCAGACTGAGGAATGCTCAGTCTGTTTTCATTTTTAGCCTCAGTTATCCTGTGTCAACAGGATGTTTGACCCAGAAATAGATGTTAATGTGCCCTGAAAAGTATGCAAATGCTACAGAGTGCAAGCAGGGTTACCTGTGGGCCCCTGAGCACTGCCACCCTCATCTCAGGCCACTTGTCATCTGCTAAAGACAGCACTGTGCTTCCAGCTGTCTGGTGTGCCATGGTGAAATGTCCACCTTGGCACTCAGGTGAAAATCAGCATCCTTGATTTTCATGTTTATCTGGTGAGCATTCTAGCCCACAGCACCAATCAGGGCTGAGCACGAAGAGGTGCTCAGTATTAAAGTGTATTGCTTTGATTCAAGTTTGCCTAGGCAGCTCCACCACCCAGCGAGTGATGGTGACATTAGGGCAGCCAGAGGGTGGAAAAATCCAAGCTCCCTTGTTCATCTTCTTGAATGTGACCTCCACCCTGAAGGGCAATCCCGAAGGCCTGGCCTAGGGCCCTGGCACTTAGCCAATAGTGATGGCCCAGGCCTGGAGACCATCTGCTAAAGGATTTTGATTTTGATTTCCCATTGGAATAAAACTCCCCACAGAATGGGCGGAAAATGGCCTTGCTTCAGATGAGTTAGTCAGGCAAGAACCATAATTTCATATGCAAACCCCAAAGAGGCACACTGTGTCCCTGTGTAGATTGACCCCAGGCCACTCAAGGGGCCACACTGGGCACTCCTGCCCTGAAAATCACTATCTCAAGTGTGAAACCCTCACTCCCTGAGCTCAGCACTACCTCAAAAAAGGGCATTTCTTTTGGCACCCTCCTTTCATGGGCACCTGGCAATCCAACCCCCTACAAGAGCCACTTCCTTTGTTCTTTTCATGGAAACAACCCTAGGTGGTTGCAGAAGATGAGTCAATGACCTCACTCATGCCAAAAAGCCTATCACAAAAATATTACTCAGAAAACTCATCCTGGATCCTCCTCCCTCCCACCAATACCTTCCCTCCCACCCCAAACAGTATACAGTTACATATTACACTTGATGAAATTCATCTTTTTAAAATAACCAAACCCTTGGGGAGCCGCTCAGGGCAATGCCGCTGCAACCACTGTAATATAAAGTCAATCACAATAGAAACAAAACCAGTCACCAGAGAACTGAATTTAAATCCATCTATCCCAGAGACAATCCTAACCATCCAGTCAAAGTGGGTTTGCCTCAGCCAGACCCATTGATGGAATTGCAAACGGCACCCCAGAAGCATCCCCAGCACCAGCTAACCCCAATGCTTGGAAAAGCTGGTGTTTCACTTCAAATCCATGCAGAGTAAAATGTGTAATAAATAAGTGCTTCCAATTTGTGTTGCTTGGGAGTTTCCAGCTGTGAGTGAATGTAGTCTTCATGGTGCTCCCTAGAATTCTCAGGTGAGAAAACTTTGCTTTGAGAATGTCCAAAGGCTATGCCTGGGTCACAATGAAGCATGCACTGGGAGGAGATGGTGTCAGAAGGGGACTGGATGACCCTTGTTGATGGCTGAAAATTTGGTGAGAATCACAGATGCAATCCACTTTCTGCTGGATGGGTCCCGTTCCTGGTGAGACTGGAATTGTGTATATATCTTTAGTTTCAAGCAATGTGGAGTCTTATGCCTTTGGAAAGGTGGCTTAGAAAGAAATTGACACAGTCTGGAATAAGAGACGCCTACACAAGGCTCTGTTCTCCTGTAGACATCTGGAAACGAAGGTTTCTTCCCTCAATGTGGCCCCTGGGGGAAGAGCAGTCCTCAAGGCCTCAGCACCCAGGGTTGAGGTCCAGTTGCTTCAGCATGTCTTGCAGAGACTCCTGCAGCCTGCTTAGGGCCACCACCTCTGTAGAATAGAGAGAGGCTTCCAGGACACCATTCAGGCTCTCCAGGGTCTCCACCTCATTGGTCTGGGATGGGGGGCAGCTCCTGAAGGTGGCCAGCAGATGGAGAAGGTCCTGGAGGTTCTCCAGGTCATTAGATATTTGCACCACATTTTGGGAAGGCAGACTGGTGAGGATCTGTTGGTAGATTGCCAATGTCTGGTCCATCTGGGACAAACTCAGACCAGGGTGAAGCCCAGGAATGAAATCCAAACCAGTGACCTTCTGTTTAGAGGACACGAACTGCTATGCAAGAGGAAGGGGGAAAGTCAGCACTCAGCAAGCAGACAGAACAACAATTCTCCAAAGCCCTCTGTTGTCCCCACGAATATGGAGGCTCATTTCTGGGCTGCCATCTTTTTCCCTTGCTTGCCTTCCTGGTCCAGGCCTCTATTCTCTGTATCCAGGTGACTTTCATGCCTCTAAGGTGGTTTCCTAGACTCCTGCCTGTCCCAAAGCAAGCTACCTTCCACTTGCAACTAATCTTCTAGGGTTATTCTTTTCTCCAAATGTCCTTTGTGAAGAACCAACCATGGCTCCCTATTTCTTATCAGTCTCTTCCACCCTCAGCTGATGGTCCCCACCTCCTTAGGAGTTAAGTCACTCCCAGGGAGTGCCCTGCTTCCCCACTCTGCTTCAGTGACTCTACCTACCAGGAGGAGCTCTCACCACCCCAACATGCTGCAGCACTTGTTCTCAACATGACCCAAGTTGAGTGGGGGGTCATGTGCACAATCTTGCTGAGTGACTATTTTGAAAGAAGACTTAAGGGTTTTCTCTATGAAATGCCCAAGACTCTGTCTAGCTCTGGTCTGTTTCTGACACCTAACTTCTCCCTGACCACCCAAGACCACTGTTAGATAACCCACAGTGGCCAGGAGATGGAGAAGTCTGCAGATAGCATACACCTCTGGGTGTGTTTGCACTTGCTGATGTGGTTTCTCTCATAATAACCTGGTGGAGCTTATATGACATGCCAGTATCTAGATAATGAGACACCAGGGAACTTGTTTAGGATCTCACAGATGTGAGAAGATTCACATCTAGTCTTCCTGATTCCCATCTAGGGAACAGCTGAAGGTACAGCCTATCATACCCCAGAGAAAGTCCAGAGTGGGCATGACACCAACTGGCAAATATGCAGAAGGCTGATGGTGAAGGAGAGAAAGATTTGCTCTTCTGTGTGGCCTTGAAAGCAGGTTGTGCAGTGATGGGAGAAGCTGCAGCTAAAACTAGAAGAACCCTAATGACACCCACATCTAGAGATGGGCAGAGGCCCAGCAGGGATGCTGCTGGGGAGCAGTTCACTTGCCAATAGGACACAAGGATCTTTACGGCTCCCCTGGTCCTGGGCACTAGGACTGAAGAAGGTAGAATCAGGGAGGAGAGAGAGGGAGGGAGGCAACAGCAGAGGCGAGAGGATGGAAGGAGCAGTGGTCAGTGTGGGAGGAGGAAGCAATGCCACTGCATTGCCTCGATCTGAGGTCTGGGTTTCCCCACTGTAAAGTGAAAATGAACACATGTGTCCTCATGACATCAGAGAATCCTATGATTTAAAAAAATCTATGGCAAAGTTAAATGCTCTTAAAGTAGTTCAGAATTAGAATCACTGGGTCTTGAATCCCAATAGGCCTAGGGGGCAAGAGAAACAACCAGAAAGAACGGGAGTCCTAGGGTTTGAAATCTTCCTCAACTTCCAATAGGTGCCTGGTATTCAGAAGGTACTTAATACATAATTTTTAGATTATCTGGTTCCAGTCCTGGGCTGGCCAAAGTTCTCCCTACCGTGTGTGAGATGTCATTGATCCTGGTGATGATGGTCTTGATGAGAGTTTTGGTGTCATCCTGGACTTTCTGGATGGGCACAGCTTGTGTGTAGGACAGATAGGACCAAAGCCACAGGAACTGACACAGGGGTCCCCAGCGCATTTTCATTCTCAGGATGTATTTCTTGGGCCTGAAAACAGAAAGAACGACATATTGCAAGAGGCTGGTATCAGAATATACCCGTCTATCCTGCTACCAACCACATTGTGAGGTATGGATGAAAATGAGATTTACTTTCTGGTCTGGCTACCATCTCCTCAAAGCCAAAGAAGATTCATTATCTAGACACAGGCTAATGAAATGCATCCTGTTGGGAAGAAGATCACTGCCTGGTCAATAGACCACAATCTATCCTGCAGACCACAGAACATCAAGCTGAGACATGAGCAAATGGAAGTGGAGGTGATGGGGCTCCACGGAAAGAGAACAGACTGTTAAGGTCAGGTTGGAATCTGGTCATTTCTCACTGCATAACTTTCACCATATCACATAACTGCTCAAAACTCCACCTTCATCCCTATCATCTACCATCTACGTATCTCCAGATTTTTATGAGGATCAAATTACATGATGCATATGAAGGAGCCGAAGGGATTGTGAAATGCATTATCTCACTACCCTATTATTAGAGAGCTATTACTTCCTTGTCCTGCCTATTAATCTTACAGCAGCCTGCTGCTATATCTGTGGTGGCCTCTATCACTCACTTTATCACTTCCTTCCTCTCCCACTTGGGAGCCTGAATCCCACCATGTAATAAGCAGTCAGGCGCGATGCTAGGCACCAACCCTGAATCACAGCTGCATCCTGCTCTCCCTCCAGTGCCTCACAGTTTAACAGGAGAGACAAGCAAGCAAGTGGCCATTCCAATACAGGAAAATGGAACTTTGCAAGGGGGCCAAGGATGGACATCCCAGGAGCCCTGGAAGAAGGGTCCTCTTGGCTGGGTATTAAAGACCGAGAGGGATTAGAACAGTAGAAAGTGGTTGCCAGAATGATCACAAGATCAGCTGTGCAAAGGTGTGGAGAAGGAAAGAACGTGATATGTTTACCCAAAAAGCTTCAAACTTTCAAAGTCATTGGAACCCTGAATTCTAAAATTAATACGCAGATCCTTGACTAAGAAGCAAAGTTTTAATGAGATACACAAAGCAAAAGGTAATAAAATGTATGCAAGTCGGAAGCCAGTGATCTATGCAAGAATGTGTGCATAAGCCTGAAATAATAAAATGGAAGAAAAGATTAGGAGAAAGATTCTGGAGATGGCAAAGAAATTCATCTCTCCTTTGACATTCTTCCTCATCTGAAAGCAGGTAATGCATATTTGGTCCACAGATGGCAATATTAGTATAATTCATTTGCTGGCAATAAAATGAAAGCAAGCAGTCTATTTATTATTTATAATGTTTGATCAAAGTTTTTTTTTAATCTGAATTTTACTGAAGGAAAAAAATGAGGCTCAGGAAGATAAAACAACTTGTCTAAAGTCACACTGGTAAGTGACAGAGCCAGGATGTTCAGTATGACAACCTCCCCCACCACCCCCACCCATGGCTTTGCTTTCCAAAGTTATAGTCATCCATAATCATCTGTGGTTCGAAAATATTAAATGGAAAATTCCAGAAATGAACAATTCATAAGCTTTTAATTGTTCCATTCTGAGTACTGTGATGAAGTCTGGCACAGACTCCTTCCATCCCACCTGGAATGTCAATCACCCCTTTGTCCAGCGGATTCACACACTATACATTACTCACCCATTAATTAGTCACTTGGTACCTAACTCAGCTATCAGAGGGACTGTCATGGTATCACAATGCTTGTGTTCAAGTAACCCTTATTTAATGTAGTAATGGCCCCAAAGCGCAAAAGTAGGATGAAAGGAGGCATCAAACATGGAAGGAAGATTAATTCTGGTATTGTGTGGCAATGCTGCAGGGCATATAGGAAAAAATGTATTATATACAGGTTTGGCACTGTCCGCAGTTTCAAGTATCCACTGGGAGTCTTGGAACATAACCCCCCCAGATAAGAGGGGGCTACTTTAGTGCTAATTGCTATTCAAATCCCTGGAACCATGGCAAAGGTAGGAGTGTGCAGTGGTTAGGCCCTGAGGCTTCTGCAGAAGGTTCTGTCCTTATTAGCTGTGTATCTTCAGGAGAGATGCTTTATTTCCCAGAGTGTCTGTTCCTATCAGTAAAAATGTAGCTGAGCTCCCGGTGGCTCACGCCTGTAATCCTAGCTACTCAGAAGCAGAGATAGGGAGGATCACAGTTTAAAGCCAGCCCAGGGCAAGTAGTTCGTGAGACCCTATCTCAAAAAAAATCCATCACAAAAAAGGGCTGGTGGAGTGGCTCAAGGTGTAGGCCCTGAGTTCAAACCCCAGTACTGTAAAAAAAAAAAAAGTGCTATCTCCACCACCTGCCTCAAAAAGGTAAATGGAATAAAACTGTGAAGCTCCTGCCCACCATGTGCGTGTCTGGCCCAGAGTCAGGGAGAGAAAGTGCCAGCTACTGAAAAATTATTATAATTACTGGGCAGAGCTTGCAATGCTCAGGGCAATGCCACCATAGCCAGATCTGAATGAAGACTCCCATGGACCATGTCCACAGGGCACCTGGTATCTCTAGGTCTTCCCCTGTAGCATAAGATTGAGTTACACTCTTTTCTAAGATTTACGGGTTGATGACACTCTCCTTCCTGAGAAAATTTACTACCAGATTTTCTCTGGTCATATCACAGCTTTTCTCACATACCAGCGTAGAGAGTCAGGTTTGCAAACCCCCTCCATCACCACTGATCACGTGCCTCAGTGGATGGATGCTGCAAAAGAAGCAGCAGTTCCTGCAAAGCATGGACTTGAGAAGCCAGTGCTGGGCACAAGTGATTGAGAGGAGGGGCCAGACTTGGGGGATACCCCTGGGAAGGGGCAGCAGAGAGAAGCAGTAACATCAACTCCATCTAAGATCAAAGTGATGGTGAGAACCTGCCATACCAACGTGTACCACACACAGCAAGGGACCCAATACACTTTCTCTTCTTTCTTCTCTCCAGTGGCAGATTTGTTACACATTTCTCTCCAGCAGGCATGTTAATGTGAATTAAATTCAGGTAATGTTTGGCCAACAGGTATATTAAAAAAAGCTCAGCAGTACTAACCTGGGAAATGCAAATGAAAACCACATGAGATGTCATCTCACCCATGTTAGCATGGTTACTGTCATAAAGACAAAAGATAACAGAGGCTGGTGAGGATTCCAGAAAGGAGAGCTCCACACAGTCGGTGGGGAGGTAAATTAGTAGAGCCATTATAGAAAACAGTGTGGAGGTTCTTCAAGAAACTAGAAATAGAACTACAAACAGTGTCACTAGTGGGTATATGTCCAATGGAAATGGCATCAGTATGTTCAAAAGATACCTGACCCCATGTTTATTGCAGCACTATCTACAATAGCCAAATATGGAACCAATCTAGGTATCCACTGATAGATGAATTGAAAAAGAAAATGTGGACCAGACACACACAATGAAATTACTTTTCAGTCATAAAAAAGAATGAAATTGTGTCATTTGCAGCAGCATGGAAGGTACGTGATGTTGAGGAAGTAGAGACTATAATAGTGGTGCGGGGGCTGGGGTGGGGGAGAAAGGGGAGCAGGGGTGCACGTTGGACGGAAGGAATAACTTCTAATGCCTGGTAGCTCAGTAGTATAACCCCAATTGACTGCAGCTAACCGAGTAACTCTAACTAGCTAATGGAGAATCAGTGCTGAGTGTCCTTGACGCAAAGAAACGTATCTGTCTAAGCGTACAGGTGTTCCGTTACTCTGACCTGGTCATTACACGTTGTATACCTCAATTAAAATGCCACCCTGTACCCAAAATATTTTCAGTTATTCTGTGTCAATTTAAATATATATATTAAAGTAATTAGAAATATTAGTTCAGGTAATATGGTATTTGCTGTTAATTATGAGGAGAAAGTTTTGGCTGCTTTAAGTCCTGTCCTACAAATTCTCCCTGTGAGCTCCTTCTCCTTCCTTTCCTCCTTCCCTCCTTCCCTCCCTCCCTCTCTCCTTCCCTCTTTACTTCCTTCCTTCCCACCTACTTTCTTTCTTTTCTTCCTTCCCACCTACCTTCCTTCCTTCCTTCTTTTCCTCCTTCCCTTCCTCCTTCCCTCCCCACTCCTTCTCTCCCTCCCTCCTCACTCCTTCCTTCCTCCCTTCCTCCCTCCCTTCCTCTCTTCCTTCCTAACTCCAAGTTGGAAGAGACTGGAGGATAGGGAAATGACAAAAGAAGAAATAAAGACAGAGAAGATTGGACTCTAGTCCTTCAAATCATTCAGGGTCTAGTGGAACAGAAAGAAGCTTGAACAACTTGTTGTAATGCAACCCTAGTACCTCTCCCCCCAAAATTATATGTTCTTTCCTTCTGAAGGAATGAGGGAAGCAGCCCAGCTTGTTTGTTGCAATGGGGTTTTGCTAACTTTTCCCCCACTGGGCTAGCCTCAAATCACAATCCTTCTGATCTCCACCTCCTGAGGAGCATAGGATTTGAGAGGCAGAGACGGGGCACAGTGATTCATATCTATAATTACTAAGGGGGTGCAGGTAGGAGAATCATGGTCCTAGGTTGGTCCTGGGCAATAATCTTGACATCCTATCTGAAAAATAACTAAAGCAAAAAAGGGTTGGGAGTGTGGCTCAAATGGTACCTGCTTAGCAAGCATGAAAGTCTTAAGTTCAGACCCCAGTACTGCCCCCCAAAAAAGAAAATAATTTGAAGAGCAGAGAGGAAGTGTCTCTGGGGTAGGGAGTAAGGAGAGCTTTGCAAAGGAGGTGATATGTGAACCAAGAGCTGAAAGACAAGAAGTTCCCCAGGGAAAAGAGAGGAAGCAGGCATAGCAGCCAAGTTGGGGAGTCAGAAGATGTAGAGGGGTGGAATGCATGAAGCTGGAGAGCTAGACTTTTGTGGGTTTGATTCCATCTATAGTGCAGACTGGCTGGGGATGTACACTACCCAGGGCGCACGTGTGCATGCACACACACACACACACACACACAGCCATGGTACACTGGTATCTACATTTGCATTTACACTCC